TTTACAAAATTAAAATATAATTATCTTTTTTTAAACCCAAAAATCATTGTGAATTAATTACGAAGCTAGAAAGAAGCCAGGGGACATAGTCCCAACACATAGTGTTAGCATGAAAACGCAACCCTTTTATTTTTACCTATAAACGATGGCAGGCCCAAATACCTTCCAAAATTGTCAGCGTTGGGCACATCAAGCAGCCCCGCAACCTGATCACGTGTATCCTCCGTGGTATTCCTACTAAAAGAGATATTGAATTTATGGAAATATAATTATCTAAACATATTACATTCGAATTATTATTTTTAGATTACGAAAGAACTTTACAAACATTATCTAAGGGTAAATCTCACATCTATGTAATATCAAGTAAAGAAAATAAGATAAATCATTGTACAAGACCATGTGTGACAAAAGAAGGTGTTGCAGTAATTGTAATAATCATCTTCACTCTCCAAGAAATCTGCATCGATTTTTCCTTTTTTTTGGGAAGAGTTTATGTTTTAGGATTTTTCCTTTTGTTGGGGAAGAGTTTATGTTTAAAGTTTTTCTTAAAGGGAAATAATTTAAGCGACCACAGTGGAGTCGAACCCACGACCTTCTGATCCGAAATCAGACGCGCTAATCCACTGCGCTATACGGTCATACATATATACTTTTAAACTAATATTGTTAATTTAGAATATTTAATCATTGTTGTCAACAAGTGAACGTATATGTCGAATATACGCCGCGCAGTGCATATACAATATATCATTTGATAACACTTGAGACCTTGTACGATATATTAGTTGCGGCCTATATATACATTTTTATAAATTATATTAAGTTATGAACTGTATAATTTTAAATTTTATAATATTATAATTATAAAATAAAAATATGACAAATAAATTATATTAATGTTAAATACAAGTTAAAAAAATTATAATTATATCACAATTTACAAAATTAAAATATAATTATCTTTTTTTTAAACCAAAAATCATTGTGGAATTAATTACGAAGCTAGAAAGAAGCCAGGGGACATAGTCCAACACATAGTGTTAGCATGAAAACGCAACCCTTTTATTTTACCTATAAACGATGGCAGGCCAAATACCTTCCAAAATTGTCAGCGTTGGGCACATCAAGCAGCCCCGCAACCTGATCACGTGTATCCTCCGTGGTATTCCTACTAAAAGAGATATTGAATTTATGGAAATATAATTATCTAAACATATTACATTCGAATTATTATTTTTAGATTACGAAAGAACTTTACAAACATTATCTAAGGGTAAATCTCACATCTATGTAATATCAAGTAAAGAAAATAAGATAAATCATTGTACAAGACCATGTGTGACAAAAGAAGGTGTTGGCAGTAATTGTAAGAGAAAGGAAATCTGCATCGTGTAAAGTGGATTTTTCCTTTTTGTTGGGGAAGAGTTTATGTTTAGGATTTTCCTTTTTGTTGGGGAAGTGTTTATGTTTAAAGTTTTTTTAAAGGGAAATAATTTAAGCGACCACAGTGGGAGTCGAACCCACGACCTTCTGATCCGAAGTCAGACGCGCTAATCCACTGCTATACGGTCATACATATATACTTTTAAACTAATATTGTTAATTTAGAATATTTAATCATTGTTGTCAACAAGTGAACGTATATGTCGAATATACGCCGCGCAGTGCATATACAATATATCATTTGATAACACTTGAGACCTTGTACGATATATTAGTTGCGGCCTATATATACATTTTATAAATTATATTAAGTTATGAACTGTATAATTTTAAATTTTATAATATTATAATTATAAAATAAAAATATGACAAATAAATTATATTAATGTTAAATACAAGTTAAAAAATTATAATTATATCACAATTTACAAAATTAAAATATAATTATCTTTTTTGAAAGCCAAAAATCATTTGTGAAATTAATTACGAAGTTAGAAAGAAGCCAGGGGGACATAGACCCAACACATAGTGTTAGCATGAAAAAAGCAACCCTTTTATTTCTACCTATAAACGATGGCAGGCCCAAATACCTTCCAAAATTGTCAGCGTTGGGCACACCAAGCAGCCCCGCAACCTGATCACGTGTATCCTCCGTGGTATTCCTACTAAAAGAGATATTGAATTTATGGAAATATAATTATCTAAACATATTACATTCGAATTATTATTTTTAGATTACGAAAGAACTTTACAAACATTATCTAAGGGTAAATCTCACATCTATGTAATATCAAGTAAAGAAAATAAGATAAATCATTGTACAAGACCATGTGTGACAATTGTAAGATTCCTGGAATGGCAAGAAAATCATCTTCAAAGGAAATCTGCATCGTGTAAAGTGTCTAATTGACGATTTTTCCTTTTTGTTGGGAAGAGTTTATGTTTAGGTTTTCCTTTTTGTTGGGAATTTATGTTTAAAGTTTTTTTAAAGGAAATAATTTAAGCGACCACAGTGGGAGTCGAACCCACGACTTCTGATCCGAAGTCAGACGCGCTAATCCACTGCGCTATACGGTCATACATATATACTTTTAAACTAATATTGTTAATTTAGAATATTTAATCATTGTTGTCAACAAGTGAACGTATATGTCGAATATACGCCGCGCAGTGCATATACAATATATCATTTGATAACACTTTGAGACCTTGTACGATATATTAGTTGCGGCCTATATATACATTTTTATAAATTATATTAAGTTATGAACTGTATAATTTTAAATTTTATAATATTATAATTATAAAATAAAAATATGACAAATAAATTATATTAATGTTAAATACAAGTTAAAAAAAAATTATAATTATATCACAATTTACAAAATTAAAATATAATTATCTTTTTTTAAACCAAAAATCATTGTGGAATTAATTACGAAGCTAGAAAGAAGCCAGGGGACATAGTCCAACACATAGTGTTAGCATGAAAACGCAACCCTTTTATTTTACCTATAAACGATGGCAGGCCCAAATACCTTCCAAAATTGTCAGCGTTGGGCACATCAAGCAGCCCCGCAACCTGATCGTGTATCCTCCGTGGTATTCCTACTAAAAGAGATATTGAATTTATGGAAATATAATTATCTAAACATATTACATTCGAATTATTATTTTTAGATTACGAAAGAACTTTACAAACATTATCTAAGGGTAAATCTCACATCTATGTAATATCAAGTAAAGAAAATAAGATAAATCATTGTACAAGACCATGTGTGACAAAAGTGTTGGCAGGTTTCCTTAAAGAAAATAATTTAAGCAACCACAGTGGAGTTGAACCCACGACCTTCTGAACCGAAAGTAGACGCTAATCCACTGCGCTATCGGTCATACATATATACTTTTAAACTAATATGTTAATTTAGAATATTTAATCATTGTTGTCAACAAGTGAACGTATATGTCGAATATACGCCGCGCAGTGCATATACAATATATCATTTGATAACACTTGAGACCTTGTACGATATATTAGTTGCGGCCTATATATACATTTTTATAAATTATATTAAGTTATGAACTGTATAATTTTAAATTTTATAATATTATAATTATAAAATAAAAATATGACAAATAAATTATATTAATGTTAAATACAAGTAAAAAAATTATAATTATATCACAATTTACAAAATTAAAATATAATTATCTTTTTTGAAAGCCAAAAATCATTGTGGAATTAATTACGAAGCTAGAAAAGAAGCCAGGGGACATAGACCAACACATAGTGTTAGCATGAAAACGCAACCCTTTTATTTCTACCTAAAACGATGGCAGGCCCAAATACCTTCCAAAATTGTCAGCGTTGGGCACACCAAGCAGCCCCGCAACCTGATCACGTGTATCCTCCGTGGTATTCCTACTAAAAGAGATATTGAATTTATGGAAATATAATTATCTAAAAATATTACATTCGAATTATTATTTTTAGATTACGAAAGAACTTTACAAACATTATCTAAGGGTAAATCTCACATCTATGTAATATCAAGTAAAGAAAATAAGATAAATCATTGTACAAGACCATGTGTGACAAAAGAAGGTGTTGGCAGTAATTGTAAGATTCCTTGAGGCTTTTTGTTGGGAAAAGTTTATGTTTTAGGATTTTTCCTTTTTGTTGGGGAAGAGTTTATGTTTAAAGTTTTTCTTAAAAGGAAATAATTTAAACGACCACAGTGGGAGTCGAACCCACGACCTTCTGATCCAAAGTCAGACGCGCTAATCCACTGCGCTATACGGTCATACATATATACTTTTAAACTAATATTGTTAATTTAGAATATTTAATCATTGTTGTCAACAAGTGAACGTATATGTCGAATATACGCCGCGCAGTGCATATACAATATATCATTTGATAACACTTGAGACCTTGTACGATATATTAGTTGCGGCCTATATATACATTTTTATAAATTATATTAAGTTATGAACTGTATAATTTTAAATTTTATAATATTATAATTATAAAATAAAAATATGACAAATAAATTATATTAATGTTAAATACAAGTTAAAAAAAATTATAATTATATCACAATTTACAAAATTAAAATATAATTATCTTTTTTAAACCCAAAAATCATTGTGGAATTAATTACGAAGCTAGAAAGAAGCCAGGGGGACATAGTCCCAACACATAGTGTTAGCATGAAAACGCAACCCTTTTATTTTACCTATAAACGGCAGGCCCAAATACCTTCCAAAATTGTCAGCGTTGGCACATCAAGCAGCCCCGCAACCTGATCACGTGTATCCTCCGTGGTATTCCTACTAAAAGAGATATTGAATTTATGGAAATCTAATTATCTAAACATATTACATTCGAATTATTATTTTTAGATTACGAAAGAACTTTACAAACATTATCTAAGGGTAAATCTCACATCTATGTAATATCAAGTAAAGAAAATAAGATAAATCATTGTACAAGACCATGTGTGACAAAAGAATGTGTTGGCAGGGTTTTCCTTAAAGCGAAATAATTTAAGCAACCACAGTGGGAGTTGAACCCACGACCTTCTGAACCGAAATTAGACGCGCTAATCACTGCGCTATACGGTCATACATATATACTTTTAAACTAATATTGTTAATTTAGAATATTTAATCATTGTTGTCAACAAGTGAACGTATATGTCGAATATACGCCGCGCAGTGCATATACAATATATCATTTGATAACACTTGAGACCTTGTACGATATATTAGTTGCGGCCTATATATACATTTTTATAAATTATATTAAGTTATGAACTGTATAATTTTAAATTTTAATATTATAATTATAAAATAAAAATATGACAAATAAATTATATTAATGTTAAATACAAGTTAAAAAAATTATAATTATATCACAATTTACAAAATTAAATATATAATTATTTTTTGAAACCAAAAATCATTGTGGAATTAATTACGAAGCTAGAAAGAAGCCAGGGGGACATAGACCAACACATAGTGTTAGCATGAAAACGCAACCCTTTTATTTCTACCTATAAAATGGCAGGCCCAAATACCTTCCAAAATGTCAGCGTTGGGCACACCAAGCAGCCCGCAACCTGATCACGTGTATCCTCCGTGGTATTCCTACTAAAAGAGATATTGAATTTATGGAAATATAATTATCTAAACATATTACATTCGAATTATTTATTTTAGATTACGAAAGAACTTTACAAACATTATCTAAGGGTAAATCTCACATCTATGTAATATCAAGTAAAGAAAATAAGATAAATCATTGTACAAGACCATGTGTGACAAAAGAAGGTGTTGGCAGTAATTGTAAGATTCCTTGAGTCACTCTCCTTGTTAAATTTTCCTTTTTGTTGGGGAAGAATTTATGTTTTAGGATTTTCCTTTTTTTGGGGAAGAGTTTATGTTTAAAGTTTTTCTTAAAAGGGAAATAATTTAAGCGACCACAGTGGGAGTCGAACCCACGACCTTCTGATCCAAATCAGACGCTAATCCACTGCGCTATACGGTCATACATATATACTTTTAAACTAATATTGTTAATTTAGAAATTTTAATCATTGTTGTCAACAAGTGAACGTATATGTCGAATATACGCCGCGCAGTGCATATACAATATATCATTTGATAACACTTGAGACCTTGTACGATATATTAGTTGCGGCCTATATATACATTTTTATAAATTATATTAAGTTATGAACTGTATAATTTTAAATTTTATAATATTATAATTATAAAATAAAAATATGACAAATAAATTATATTAATGTTAAATACAAGTTAAAAAAATTATAATTATATCACAATTTACAAAATTAAAATATAATTATCTTTTTTAAACCAAAAATCATTGTGGAATTAATTACGAAGCTAGAAAGAAGCCAGGGGGACATAGTCCCAACACATAATGTTAGCATGAAAACGCAACCCTTTTATTTTTACCTATAAACGATGGCAGGCCCAAATACCTTCCAAAATTGTCAGCGTTGGGCACATCAAGCAGCCCCGCAACCTGATCACGTGTATCCTCCGTGGTATTCCTACTAAAAGAGATATTGAATTTATGGAAATCTAATTATCTAAACATATTACATTCGAATTATTATTTTTAGATTACGAAAGAACTTTACAAACATTATCTAAGGGTAAATCTCACATCTATGTAATATCAAGTAAAGAAATAAGATAAATCATTGTACAAGACCATGTGTGACAAAGAAGGTGTTGGCAGTAAAATCATCTTCACTCTCCCAAGAAATCTGCATCGATAAAGAGTTTGTTTTAGGATTTTTCCCTTTGTTGGGGAAGAGTTTATGTTTAAAGTTTTTCTTAAAGGGAAATAATTTAAGCGACCACAGTGGGAGTCGAACCCACGACCTTCTGATCCGAAATCAGACCGCTAATCCACTGCGCTATACGGTCATACATATATACTTTTAAACTAATATTGTTAATTTAGAATATTTAATCATTGTTGTCAACAAGTGAACGTATATGTCGAATATACGCCGCGCAGTGCATATACAATATATCATTTGATAACACTTGAGACCTTGTACGATATATTAGTTGCGGCCTATATATACATTTTTATAAATTATATTAAGTTATGAACTGTATAATTTTAAATTTTATAATATTATAATTATAAATAAAAATATGACAAATAAATTATATTAATGTTAAATACAAGTTAAAAAAAATAATAATTATATCACAATTTACAAAATTAAAATATAATTATCTTTTTTTTAAACCAAAAATCATTGTGGAATTAATTACGAAGCTAGAAAGAAGCCAGGGGACATAGTCCAACACATAGTGTTAGCATGAAAAGCAACCCTTTTATTTTTACCTATAAACGATGGCAGGCCCAATACCTTCCAAATTGTCAGCGTTGGGCACATCAAGCAGCCCCGCAACCTGATCAGTGTATCCTCCGTGGTATTCCTACTAAAAGAGATATTGAATTTATGGAAAATAATTATCTAAACATATTACATTCGAATTATTATTTTTAGATTACGAAAGAACTTTACAAACATTATCTAAGGGTAAATCTCACATCTATGTAATATCAAGTAAAGAAAATAAGATAAATCATTGTACAAGACCATGTGTGACAAAAGAAGGTGTTGGCAGTAATTGTAAGATTCCTGGAAAGGAAATCTGCATCGTGTAAAGTGTCTATTTGACGATTTTTCCTTTTTGTTGGGGAAGAGTTTATGTTTAGGATTTTTCCTTTGTTGGGGAAGTGTTTATGTTTAAAGTTTTTTTAAAGGGAAATAATTTAAGCGACCACAGTGGAGTCGAACCCACGACCTTCTGATCCGAAGTCAGACGCGCTAATCCACTGCGCTATACGGTCATACATATATATTTTAAACTAATATTGTTAATTTAGAATATTTAATCATTGTTGTCAACAAGTGAACGTATATGTCGAATATACGCCGCGCAGTGCATATACAATATATCATTTGATAACACTTGAGACTTGTACGATATATTAGTTGCGGCCTATATATACATTTTTATAAATTATATTAAGTTATGAACTGTATAATTTTAAATTTTATAATATTATAATTATAAAATAAAATATGACAAATAAATTATATTAATGTTAAATACAAGTTAAAAAAATTATAATTATATCACAATTTACAAAATTAAAATATAATTATCTTTTTTGAAAGCCAAAAATCATTGTGAAATTAATTACGAAGCTAGAAAGAAGCCAGGGGGACATAGACCCAACACATAGTGTTAGCATGAAAAAGCAACCCTTTTATTTCTACCTATAAACGATGGCAGGCCCAAATACCTTCCAAAATTGTCAGCGTTGGGCACACCAAGCAGCCCCAACCTGATCACGTGTATCCTCCGTGGTATTCCTACTAAAAGAGATATTGAATTTATGGAAATATAATTATCTAAACATATTACATTCGAATTATTATTTTTAGATTACGAAAGAACTTTACAAACATTATCTAAGGGTAAATCTCACATCTATGTAATATCAAGTAAAGAAAATAAGATAAATCATTGTACAAGACCATGTGTGACAATTGTAAGATTCCTGGAATGGCAAGAAAATCATCTTCACTCTCCCAAGGAAATCTGCATCGTGTAAAGTGTCTATTTGACGATTTTTCCTTTTTGTTGGGGAAGAGTTTATGTTTTAGATTTTTCCTTTTTGTTATTATGTTTAAAGTTTTTTTTAACGGAAATAATTTAAGCGACCACAGTGGGAGTCGAACCCACGACTTCTGATCCGAAGTCAGACGCGCTAATCCACTGCGCTATACGGTCATACATATATTGTTTTAAACTAATATTGTTAATTTAGAATATTTAATCATTGTTGTCAACAAGTGAACGTATATGTCGAATATACCGCCAGTGCATATACAATATATCATTTGATAACACTTGAGACCTTGTACGATATATTAGTTGCGGCCTATATATACATTTTTATAAATTATATTAAGTTTTGAACTGTATAATTTTAAATTTTATAATATTATAATTATAAAATAAAAATATGACAAATAAATTATATTAATGTTAAATACAAGTTAAAAAAAAATAATAATTATATCACAATTTACAAAATTAAAATATAATTATCTTTTTTTTAAACCAAAAAATCATTGTGGAATTAATTACGAAGCTAGAAAGAAGCCAGGGGACATAGTCCTAACACATAGTGTTAGCATGAAAACGCAACCCTTTTATTTTACCTATAAACGATGGTAGGCCCAAATACCTTCCAAAATTGTCAGCGTTGGCACATCAAGCAGCCCCGCAACCTGATCAGATGTATCCTCCGTGGTATTCCTACTAAAGAGATATTGAATTTATGGAAATCTAATTATCTAAACATATTACATTCGAAATTATTATTTTTAGATTACGAAAGAACTTTACAAACATTATGTAAGGGTAAATCTCACATCTATGTAATATCAAGTAAAGAAAATAAGATAAATCATTGTACAAGACCATGTGTGACAAAAGAAGGTGTTGGCAGTAATTGTAAGATTCCTGGAAAGGAAAGCATCGTGCAAAGTGTAAGTTCTATTTGACGATTTTTCCTTTTTGTTGGGAAGAGTTTATGTTTAGGATTTTTCCTTTTTTGGGAAGTTTATGTTTAAAGTTTTTTTTAAAGGGAAATAAATTTAAGCGACCACAGTGAGTCGAACCCACGACCTTCTGATCCGAAGTCAGACGCGCTAATCCACTGCGCTATACGGTCATACATATATACTTTTAAACTAATATTGTTAATTTAGAATATTTAATCATTGTTGTCAACAAGTGAACGTATATGTCGAATATACGCCGCGCAGTGCATATACAATATATCATTTGATAACACTTGAGACCTTGTACGATATATTAGTTGCGGCCTATATATACATTTTTATAAATTATATTAAGTTATGAACTGTATAATTTTAAATTTTATAATATTATAATTATAAATAAAAATATGACAAATGAATTATATTAATGTTAAATACAAGTTAAAAAAATTATAATTATAACACAATTTACAAAATTAAAATATA